CTTCAACGCTTTGACTAACTCTCCAATTTTTGCCTCCTTTTACTTCATTTAAACATCACACAGTGGTGGCATTTAGTAAAATTTAAGGTTTACTAAAAGTTAGCACCACCAATGCATTAGGGTGAGTGTGTAAAAAAAGTTGGGCCAAACAACAACAACAACAACAACATTCACTCAGACAAAGTGAAAATGCGGTGGTGTAAACCCTCCAGTCATCCCCATTTCATGCCATTTCATCAGCCCTTATCTCATCTTGTCTGGATTTAAACAAACCACTAAACAATTGTGCAGTTAATAAATCAAATTGCTGTGTCAACAGGTTTAAGAAGTTGCCTTTCACCTCTGGTTTTGCTCAACTGATTGCACAACTTTAAAATCAAACTAAGAGGGTGTAAAAAAAAAAATGACGGTAGATTGTCGGACGCCTGTGTTGACGATGCTGCGTCGGCTTTGCCACCGACAACCACATTTCCGCTCTTGTTTGAAGGTGGTGCAACGCCATCTGCGAGGCGCAGTCCTTCCGGTGCCAACTTCCATGCCTCTTCAAGTAGTCTGTTTAAAAAAAAACCTTCTTATTAAACACGAACTTGAAAAGGTGCTGCCTTAGGGGCCAACATGTGCATGACTTTTGTTAAATGATAAGCGAGGGTAGCATTTCGAGGCTGTCAACCACTGACACTAATAAAGGAGCCGATTTTTTGCCATAAAGTGACAAAGCAGTCACTGTGGGGTGCACCTCTTCACCCCTCCTGGCAGTCACAGCCACAGCCGCAGCAGCAGCAGCAGCAGCGGCGGTTTGTTACAGTCTCGATCACCCACTCCGTAGGCAATCGCTAGCAAAGGAAGGCAATAAAATTACAGTGACGATAAAAAATTTACAAGTATGGTCAACGTTTGGATGAAGGTCATTTGGGGGAAAAAAAATTAAACTGTCCACTGTGTTACCTTTCGCTCTGTGTGTGTGTGTGGAGAGACGGGAGATTTGTGACTACACCGATCATAAAAAAAGGCAGTTGTGAATACGCAAATGGTCTGAGCAAACCAAACAACACCGTGAACTGTTGACAGTCGAAAAAGGAAAACACAGTAAATCATTTCCTCGTCTTTCTTATTAGTCCGCATCCACAGACAGCTAAAACATGAAAGTCGTGTAACAAGGGGAAAGAAAATTGGGGGGAAAAAAACATTTTAGGCGGTATTTTTTTTAAAGGGATAAAGAGGAGGGAAGGGTGGAGGGATGTTTGAAAGAAGGCGCTTTTTTAATACCCTGAGCTGTCTGTCAGTCAGGCATTAGCCTCCTTCTTCGCCTTCTCTCTCTTTTTTTTTTAACACTTTCAACCAATCCCGTCTGGTTGTGGGCACCTCAGCAGAAGGAAAACAAAGATTACACGAAATGATAAAAAAAAAATACGCCACTAACACCTCTCCCTTCACGCCATAGTGCCAGTCTTCTCTAATAATAGCCTCCAAGATGGAGGTAGAGTAGACTGTTTTTGTTTTTTTTTTTTTTTCGTTGCTGTGATAATATTGAGAGCGTTGAGAAAGGGGAGAAGAGTGTGAATTTGTGCCTCACAATGTCACTCACAAGACAAGCCGTCAATCAATGCACGCCCCACTTTTTTTTTTTTT